ACATCAAATGTTTGTGTTGTATTACGTCAGCAGACTGTTGTGTTCTTCTATTGTTGTGGCTTTAGATGACTTTTCAGAGCACATTTTATGCCAATTCTTTGCAAAACCCCACGTAATCCCAAGGGGTTCACATACTTTTTCTTGCAACTTTTATTTTTCCATATGGTGCCAATAATAGTTGAACTCGAAACTCTCAAAATTTGATAAAAATAGGAGGAGGAGGAATTAGCTATGAGGTTGGGAGTGGAATTGGCCAGATAGGAGGTTCGAAAATCACTAGTGTGCTATAAGAGGGTGGATCTCGGTGGGAAGGGGGAGCTTTTTTGCCCTGGATGGGGATGGGGGTTGTGAACTACCCAATCCCCAAAGGTGACATGTGCCTCTCCTCCTCCAGCTGATGTTGTCCTGTTTGTATTACAACCAACCCAGAAATTTCAATGTCGCACCTGCAGTTCGGGCCCCAAACCACTTGCATCACACCGTGCTCAGCCCGGCCCATGAGTGTCCAACCCACAGTCCCACCAAACTATGTCTGTCATCCCCTGAAATGTTAACAGATGCAGGTAGGTACCCATTTTTAGCCGGGGTTGTGTCCAGGAGTGCGGGGCTGCTTTTTAAAGCCCCAAAGGCTCTGGGAAAACAGTTTGGACAGTCCAGTAAATTCTATCTTCCAATTTCTGTATGAAAAAGTGGGGTAATGTTTAGGAAAAATGTATGCCATTGCTATACCTCATTCAAACCTACATGAAAAATGGTAGCTATTTAGTTTTCATGGGAAAAAGACATTTTGATGACAAAAAAACAGTCACCCTTTAAAAATAAAGGAAACCCCCTTTTACCCGGACTGTTTGACAAACAAAAATGGTCTTTACCATACATGTCGTGTATGAAGTGCCCAAAACCCCAGTGGATCCCCTTTTCCACACACGGCAGGCATGGGCTGACAAACATTCAAGAAGGCTGTCTTTCCAGAATGCTTCTTTTTTCTTTTAGACAGCTGAATGGGCTTTTTGAATGGGAAATCTGCTCCGTAACTGCAAAACCTGTTGCAGCTTGGGTCCTGTTGTGTTTGGTGGTGATCTTGTCTCCTGAACATGAAGGGAGGGGGGAAATAATTTTTGCCAGCAGAAGTACAGTCATTACCTAGTTCATGTTGTGCTCTGCAGCTTAAGGGGCGTTAAGCGTGTGGTTAAAATTGACTTACGAACCATCCTCTCGTATGTATAAAGTGGTCCAAATTTGTAAAATAAACGCAACATCAAGTGATGGATGTGAATCCATGACCAAATTCTTCATCCTCATGCAGACTCACCAGAAAACATGGAATTATGAATGATGCTTTCATAATAGGGAAAAACAAAAACGCAGGTTGTCTGGATATGGAATGTCCTGGGACTGCATTGGAGTGTGGGAATCAACCCTCGCCTTATGGGCTGCAGTACACAGGGCTGGCCATGGGGTGCTCAAGCAGCAAATCAGATGACTCAACTTGCGGCCAGTCAAAACCTGAACAATGCTTATGCTTGGTGTTGTTGATTTAAGGAGTATGCCAGACCTGCAGGACTTGCCTTTGGGGTGGCAGCAGTCGCTGTAGGAGTTCGGTCCGTACATCTCTGGTACACACACTGGCACACAAGATCCTCCAGCTGTAACAGGGATCTGGCTAGTGACTGAGTGGTGGGGCATGTCCAACGCTGGCTCCTCCTTCTACATATTGGGAGCCAATAAATAGGTAGTGGTGTGCTCTGGTTGCAGGGTTAACAGTTTTTGTGAATAGGATGATCGGGGCCCGATGTGTATGAGAGGGAAACGGGGTAGTGCTAGGAGGCCATCTGTCCTTACTGAGAGCGAAAGCCTGGACTCCGCACCCCATCAGGAGACATCAGAGGTGAGCCGAGCCTAGGAGGATAACGGGTCATGGAGGTGGACAGGTGAGGAGGAGGGGGCAGACAATGGTCGGGGTGAGGGGAGCAGATGCTGACTATTTGTGTGGGACAACGCTACATAATGAATGATCCTTCAGCTGAGGGGAAGGGCTGCAGAGGGAGAGAAAGAAAGGACAGAGGAAGATGCCGGGCGTCTGGGGCCAGTGTAGCAGCTGAGCTGCCACTCCTTCCAGTGTTCCTCTCAGACTTAGTCTCTTACTGCAAGCTGGCTGGCGGGTGCTGATCATTGTGGAGTTCTGTAAACTCAGTCTCTTTTTTTTTTTTTTTTTTTTTTTTTTTAGTTTCTCTGTCTGATTGGTTAATTATAATTTATATTTGGTTAATATATATATTTTGTCTTTTGTTTAGGACAAATTGAGCTTTCAGTTGGTGGTAAATGGTAATGGATATCTCCTTATTTTTTTTTATTATCAAAGGAAAACTGGCCAAAATAGTAAAAAAAAATCATATTTGCTGTGTGTTTTTTGCTACTCTGCCCATAACCTAGCACCAAAGAACAACCCAAATTAAAATTTTCCAGCTCTTGGCGATCGCAGCGATACTTTTATATGTGTATGTTATTTGTGTTTTGTACCCACAGTACAGCCCCAGAAGCAATAGTGCTCATTTTGTTTTTCTTTTACCTAAAACACACTGACACTGACACTAACTGACACTGATGCCAATTTAAAAAAAAAAATTCTGACTTTTGACTCTGACCTTTGACCTTGACATTTGACCCTGCCCTTGACCCAATTACTAACCCTGGCACTGAACTAGATAAAACCTTGATCTAGGTATTTTTTCTTATTTTTTCTTTTATTTTTTAAATATGTATTTATTTAATTTTTTTTTTAACAAACAGTTTTGTTTTTTTTTCTTTATGCAAGGAGAGGCATACAATGTATCTCTCTCCTCCATTCAGAAAGAAAAATAAGGGGGGCGGGCTTGTACAGTGACTGATCAGAGGCTATCACAGCGATCATGTGACCTGGAATCGGGAGTCCTGGGTCCCGATCATTAGAACGGGACCTGGGGCTCTTAGTGACACCACAGTCTATGTTCTGGGAGCACACTGTGTGGCACATTCCCAGCACAAAGACAGTTACGCAAATATGCGGCCCCATGGAAAAAAGCCAGTTCTGTGAGGCTGCTTATTTGTGTTACGTTGGCGTGAAGGGGTTAATATTGGTGCTGCTGGCATCTTATGGAAATTTAGCAGTTTCATGTTTTGTTGATTTATTATTCTCTACTGTTTTTGAAATGTTGAATTTATTTTTATTTTTTTTTGGGTGGGGTGCAAGTAGTTGGTCTTGCCTAGGGCACAAAATAGTCTAGCCCTGGTCCTAAGTAGTATCTAAAGCAAATTTTTTTCATTTTCAAAAGAAATCAGGTTTGCAATCTGTGTCCCACTGGTGTGAACAAGCTTCACTTCTTGTTTCATAGACACATTAGGAAGTTATCGAAAAGCTCTCTAAAATCCGCTCTTAGACTGTTGTCGCTGTCAATTGGAAGACTTCCCCTCAATTTCTGTTCCAATAGATAGTGTGAATTTCTCCTAATGTATTGGCTATTTCAATAAACACCATTTGTTTCCTCTTCCAGATTTCAGCTGAAAGTCAGGTGAAGTTGGACATGGTCATGGTCTGTGACACTTTGAGGAAGGGAACCCTGCATAGCTCCAAAGCCTTGGCTATATGACATACAGTATATCCAAAGTAACTTCTCCGCTTGTGAACAGCCCTTGGTCAATCCAAATTGGCCAGTGGGATCTATTATTCACTGACTGGTCCAGCATCGTCTTACAAAACTTCATATGATTAGCAATACATTTCAGTAGTCATCCTACTCTGCTTTTACTGCTGTATCTGTATGCTTCCAAGCAGGTCTGCCATCGAAGGGGGACAGTCCATACATATGTAGGGGGCTGGGCCCCAATCAGGGCCATATTTAACATGGAGCAAAAGAGGAAGCTGCCCCAGGCCCAGTGTCAGGGCTCCAGGGTATGACCAGAGGTATGTGACTGACGCAGGGAAACGCAGGCTTCAGATAAGTTATAAACAATATAATTTATTAAAGACTAACAATACAAACATAAACGCAGTGCAATACTAAAACATAACACAGTGCAAACGAACCAAACCAAACCACCCACAAAACATACAATGCAAGCGTCGTCAGGCAGGCCGGATCATAAACAGGAGGTCAGAACGTATGGGGTAAAGCAGGAGAATGGTCAGACAAAGCCAGGGATCAGAGCAGGAGAATGGTCAGACAAAGCCAGGGATCAGAGCAGGAGAATGGTCAGACAAAGCCAGGGATCAGAGCAGGAGAATGGTCAGACAAAGCCAGGGATCAGAGCAGGAGAATGGTCAGACAAAGCCAGGGATCAGAGCAGGAGAATGGTCAGACAAAGCCAGGGATCAGAGCAGGAGAATGGTCAGACAAAGCCAGGGATCAGAGCAGGAGAATTGTCAGACAAGCCAGGGATCAGAGCAGGAGAATGGTCAGACAAGCCAGGGATCAGAGCAGGGTCAGCAACGAATCAGACAGGAACAGGAACAGGAACAGGGTTGCAGGAACAGGATACAGGGCCCAGGAGAAACACACACCAAGGCAGAGTCTGCAGGTCTGGCCATCCCTTAAATACACCAGCATAAGCAGTTTCAGGTGTTTGGCTGGCTGCAAGGTTGAGTCTCTGATTGCTGGGAGCACCCGCTGGCCAGCCCTGGTACTGCAGCCCATAAGGCAGGTGAGTCCCACCATTGCTGGCCAGTCCATTCCTGACAGTATCCCGCCCTCAAGGAGCGGCCTCAGGACGCTCCAAACAGTCCTAGCTGGGCAAAATGTTCCACCGCCCGGGTCTGGTAACTGGCGGGATATCAAAGACTGGCACACGGGCAGGACTCCGGGCAGCGGCACATCGGGTAGGACTCCGGGCAGAGGCACACAGGGCTGGACTCCGGGCAGAGGCACATCGGGCTGGACTCCGGCAGAGGCACATCGGATCACCAGGCGAAGCAGCAGGCACCGGGCCCCCAGGTGGAGCAGCAGGCACCGTGCCCCCAGTCGGAGCAGGCACCGGGCCCCCAGGCGGAGCAGCAGGCACCGGGCCCCCAGGCGGAGCGGCGGGCGCCGGACCCCAGGCGGAGCGACGGGCGCCGGACCCCCAGGCGGAGCGACAGGTCTCGGGCCCCCAGGCGGAGCGGCGGGCGCCGGACCCCTAGGCGGACGGCAGGTCTCGGGCCCCCAGGCGGAGCGGCGGGCGCCGGACCCCCCCCAGGCAGAGCGACAGGTCTCGGGCCCCCTGGCGGAGCGGCGGGCGCCGGACCCCCAGGCGGAGCGACAGGTCTCGGGCCCCCAGGCGGAGCGGCAGGTGCCGGACCCCCAGGGGAGCGACAGGTCTCAGGCCCCCAGGCGGAGCGGCGGGCGCCGGACCCCCAGGCGGAGCGACAGGCACCGAGTCACCAGGCACGACAGTTTGGCTCCGAGTCAACTGGCATGACCGCCGGCACTGGGTCAGACAATGGATCGTCTGGCTGGACAGCGGGCATCGGGTCACCAGGCATCAGGTCATTTGGCTCGACAGCGGGCACCGCGTCATCTGGCAAGGCAGTGGGCTCCGAGTCAACTGGCATGACCGCGGGCACTGGGTCAGACATTGGATCGTCTGGCTGGACAGCGGGCATCGAGTCACCAGGCATCAGGTCATTTGGCTCGACAGCGGGCACCGCGTCATCTGGCAAGGCAGTGGGCTCCGAGTCAACTGGCATGACCGCGGGCACTGGGTCAGACATTGGATCGTCTGGCTGGACAGTGGGCATCGGGTCACCAGGCATCAGGTCATTTTGCTCAACAGTGGGCACCGCGTCATCTGGCAAGGCAGTGGGCACCAAGTCACCAGGCACGACAGTGGGCTCTCAGTCAATTGGCACGACAGCGGGCACCGGGTCATCAAGTACCGGATTGTCTGGCTCGACAGCGGGCATCGGGTCACCAGGCATGACAGCGGGCACTGGGTCACCAGGCATCAGGTCACTTGGCTTGCCAGCGGCACCGCGTTATCTGGCAAGGCAGTGGGCACCAAGTCACCAGGCACGACAGTGGGCTCTGAGTCAATTGGCACGGCAGCGGGCACCGGGTCATCAGGTACCGGATTGTCCTGGCTCGACAGCGGGCATCGGGTCACCAGGTATGACAGCGGGCACTGGGTCACCAGGCATCAGGTCATTTGGCTTGCCAGCGGGCACCGCGTCATCTGGCAAGGCAGTGGGGCACCGGGTCACCAGGCATTGGATCGTCAGGCTGGATCAGTTCATCAGGCTGGGTAGAAAACATCATGCTGGGTAGAGGCATCAGGCTGAGTAGAGGCATCAGGCTGAGTAGAGGCATCAGGCTGGGTACAGGCATCAGGCTGGGTACAGGCATCAGGCTGGGTACAGACCTCAGGCTGAAGTGCGGGTGCCGAGCACCAGGCTGAACCACGGAAGGCCGGTTCTCAGACGGCAGGCTGACCGGTTTGGATACTGGCAGGATGGTACTGGTTGGAAAGAATTTTCGCTTTTTTCTGGTTTTAACTACTGGGGCACTGCAAGTAAATGCAGGTCTGCAAAACGAATGGAGCAGCTGGAGACAGAGAAGAGCTGGAGGATGGAACAGGGGAGTGAACAGTTACTACAGAGGACTTCTTTACAGGGTTAAAGGCAGGATAGGTGCAGCGAGTGGGAACAGGGTACTGACATGCGGTAGATAGCAGGGCAGGAGGAGCTGTTGGGAATGCAGGAATAGAGCTTTGAGGAAATAGATTAGAAGCAGGACTGGGTTTTTGTAGGCTGACTGAGGCTGGGTGCAACAAATCTGTCCATGTCTGCAGTATGGGTTGAACAAAGCTCAGCTTACACAAAGCCTGTCTGGTCAATGACTGCACTGCGTTTATACAATCTCTTAGTATCTGTGGTGAACATGCAGAATAATGCTCCAGAAAGTAATCCACATCATCCTCTAATAACCACACCAGGGACTCTACCTGGTCGGCACTAAATGGCGGCAAAAATTCATCCCTGCATGCGGGGGTACCAGATGAAACCAACTCCGCACAAATCTGAATCAATGGCTGCACCTCAGAGAATTCTGTGCCCTGATCTACTAGAACATGAGCGAGACGTATACCTTCTAGCAGTTCATCCGGGGATACTCAGAGTTTGATAAGCATATTCTCTGTCATCAAACACTAGCAGATATAAAATACAACCTCATCAAGATCCATCCTTCCCATCAACAAACCAAGATGGCTTCCCTGTGCAGCCACTTCTGGTCAGGATTGGCCTTGGTGTAATGTCAGGGCTCCAGGGTATGACCAGAGGTATGTGACTGACGCAGGGAAACGCAGGCTTCAGATAAGTTATAAACAATATAATTTATTAAAGACTAACAATACAAACATAAACGCAGTGCAATACTAAAACATAACACAGTGCAAACGAACCAAACCAAACCACCCACAGATAAACATACAATGCAAGCGTCGTCAGGCAGGCCGGATCATAAACAGGAGGTCAGAACGTATGGGGTAAAGCAGGAGAATGGTCAGACAAAGCCAGGGATCAGAGCAGGAGAATGGTCAGACAAAGCCAGGGATCAGAGCAGGAGAATGGTCAGACAAAGCCAGGGATCAGAGCAGGAGAATGGTCAGACAAAGCCAGGGATCAGAGCAGCGGAGAATGGTCAGACAAAGCCAGGGATCAGAGCAGGAGAATGGTCAGACAAAGCCAGGGATCAGAGCAGGAGAATGGTCAGAGACAAAGCCAGGGATCAGAGCAGGAGAATGGTCAGACAAAGCCAGGGATCAGAGCAGGAGAATGGTCAGACAAGCCAGGGATCAGAGCAGGAGAAATGGTCAGACAAGCCAGGGATCAGAGCAGGGTCAGCAACGAATCAGACAGGAACAGGAACAGGGTTTGCAGGAACAGGATACAGGGCCCAGGAGAAACACACACCAAGGCAGAGTCTGCAGGTCTGGCCATCCCTTAAATACACCAGCATAAGCAGTTTCAGGTGTTTGGCTGACTGCAAGGTTGAGTCTCTGATTGCTGGGAGCACCCGCTGGCCAGCCCTGGTACTGCAGCCCATAAGGCAGGTGAGTCCCACCATTGCTTGGCCAGTCCATTCCTGACACCCAGTCATTGTTGAACCTGCGCTGCCTGCATAGTTGCCACAATTTTGATTAAGCTGTTCCCAAGATCCCAAGATGTTCCACTCTGAGTCATGAAAATAAGAGCTGCAGGTACAGCAACAGCCCTGTCTGCTCTCTCTTCCAGCTGCTGCACCTTCCCCTACCGCTCTGCCTCTCTCCTGGCCCTCTCCAACATCCCCCCCACCACAATTCTCCACCTCCACAACAGTCTGTCCAATCGCGGGTGCATAGTGTGCCCATGCGGACCCACCCCCTTTGATGAGTCAGGCCAATAGACCCCAGTGGGGTGAGAGATTTTCAGTGGGAAGTTTGAGTTTGGAAATGTGATCCCTTAAAGCTATGTGTCTGGAGAAAGAGAGCTGAGTCCTGGGACCGAGGAGGGACCGTACACTAAGGTACATCAAACCTGGTTCAAGGCTGTAATGAGGGTGCAGGAGGGAAGGTAGGACTACAGATGTGGAAGACACTGTGACTGAGGACCAACATACCGGGGAGATGAGACTGGAGAAGGAGGACATAGAATGGAGGAGGAGGACATGGCATGGAGGAGGAGAAGGACATGGAATGGAGGAGGATGACGATGACATAAAATGGAGTAGAAGGAGGACACAGAATGGAGTATGATGTGGAATGGAATGAAGGAGGACATGTGAATGGGGAGGCCCAGGAGGAGGACAACATGTGATGGGGTAGATGAGACTGGAAGAAGGAGGACGTGGGATGAGGGAGGTTAAACTGGAAGAGGAGGATATGGGATGGGGAGATGGGACTGGAGTAAGGAAATGGATAGAGGAGATGGGACTGGAAGAGGAAGAGGACATGGGATGGAGGAGGAGGACATGGGATGAGGGAGTGGAGACTGGAGATAATGAAGAGATGGGACTAGAGTAGGAGGGGCAAGGATATGGGTTGGAGGATATATTAAGTTGTAAGGGTGTTAAAATAAAAGTGGGTGCACTGAAGGACTTGGTGGAATAGCCAGTGGATGGATTCGGTGGGACAGCCAGTGGGCGGGCCCTAAGGAATGTTGGCAGTCAGGTCCAGGGGGCTCTAGGCCTAAAGCTGTGTAATGGGGCCACAAAATTTCTGATGACTGCCCTGCTTCCAAGTGTTGAACTTATTAATTATAATGAAAGAGACCTTCTACCAAATATACAGTTACAAGCATTCAAGGTGGAAGGTCTATAGGAAGTAACCGAGGAAACCACTGTTAATTTAACAACTGGCTTTTAAATCCTAATTGGTTGCTGTTTCCAGCAACCTTTCTGCACACCAACCTTAAAGAATATGTTCCTACATGTGATTTGTGACATGTAAAGTCAGGGAGAGATGCAAACACATCAGTGGCTGGCTAGTAAGCCAAGATATAAATTTGCCCTCTTTTTAAAATAACTGGATCGTTCCAGTCTTAAAGGTAATGCACAGTTTTTTTGTACATTTACAACGTGTTTTTTATTTTTTTTTTGGTCAAGATAAAAAATATTTTTTTTGACTGGGTAAATATGAGACTTACATATCAGTGTTAGGCTCCTTCCACATCTCCTACACCTCTATCTGTTTTGCTAAAAAAAAAAACAATCTGCAGTTTACAGAACTCAGTAACTCGAGCTAAAAGTGAGTCAAAGCAGTGACCCGTCCTTCTCCCTCTTGCTGTGTGTAATGGCTTCCATCCAAGGTTTCAGTTAAAGAGATGGAGCCTGAAGCAAACAGCTGCTGTTGTGATTTCCCTTGTTAAGAACACATGAATACTATGACATTGGGTACACCCTTGCATTAAATAAATAAATTTGTACAGATTAAAAAAGTTAAATAGTAAACCTAAATAGTAAAAAAACAAATATAGAAAACATCAGCTTAAAATTATATTGGGTATATAAGCTCTAACGAGCAGGACTCTCTGTTTCCTTTTGTATTGTACCTGTAATGTCTACCTTCATTTTGTAAAGCACTGCACAAACTGTTGGCGCTATATAAATCCTGTATAATAATAATAATTCTAAACTAATGACTTTTAATATACAGTTGCAAGAAAAAGTATGTGAACCCCTTGGGATTACGTGGAGTTTTGCATGAATTGGTGGCATAAAATGTGCTCTGGACGTCATCTAAGTCACAACAATAGAAGAACACAGTCTGCTGAACATAATACTACACAAACATTAGATGTTGCCATGGTTTATGTGTACATAACATGTAAACATTCACAGTGCAGGGTGGAAAAAGTATGCGAACCTTTGGACTTAATAACTGGTTGACCCTCCTTTGGCAGCAATAACCTCAACCAAACGGTTTCCTGTGTAGTTGCAGATCAGACCTGCACAATGATCTGGAGTAATTTTGGGACCACTCCTCTTCATCAAAACTGTTTCAGTGTAGCAATATTCTTGGGATGTCTGGTGTGAATCGTTCTCTTAAGGTCATGCATAACTCAGCATTTCAATCGGGTTGAGGTCAGGACTCTGACTGGGCCACTCCAGAAGGTGTATTCTGTGCTGTTGCATAACCATTGTTTTGTTTGAATTACTTGTATGCTTTGGGTCATTGTCCTGTTGCATCACCCATCCTCAGCAGAGCTTCAGTTGGCGGACAGATGGTCGTACGTTTTGCTGCAAAATGTCTTGATAAACTCTGGAAATTCATTTTCCCCATCAATGACAATCCAATCCGTCCAGGCCCTGAGGCAGCAAAGCAGCCCCAAACCATGATGCTCCCTCCGCCATGTTTTACAGTGGGGATGAGGATTTGATGTTGGTGTGCTTGTGTTGTGTGTTCTTCCCAAACAACTGAATCTTGGTTTCATCTGTCCACAGTATATTTTGCCAGTAGTGCTGTGGAACATCCAGGTGCTCTTTTGCAAACATTCAAACGTGCTGCAATATTCGTTTGGACAGTAATGGCTTCCTAACCGTGGTGTCTCTCATGTACTCCATTCTTGTTTAATGTTTTCGTTATTGTAGATATGTCAACAAAAATGTTAGCATGGTGCCAGAGATTTCTGTAGGTCTTTAGCTGACGCTCTGGGATTCTTCTTTACCTCTTGCAGCATTCTGTGCTGTGCTCTTGCAGTCATTTTTACAGGATGACCACGCCTAGGGAGAGTATCAACAGTGCTAAACTTTCTCCATTTGTAGACAGTCTGTCTTACCGTGGACACATGGAACATTCAAGGCTTTTTGGAGATGTACCTTTTGTAACCCTTTCCAGCTTCATGCAAGTCAACAATTCTTGATCGT